TGACTCTTGAGTGTGTACCACACAAACAAACACACTGCAGCCAACTTATCGGCGCTTAACAGCAGCAATTAAAGCTGAACAACTACAAACATGAAGATTTTGTTGAATTCAAGAGCTATTTTTTTATATTATTTAAAAGCCGAATCAACCAAAAGCCCCAAACAAATCGTAGATAGCTGTAAGCCAAACGATAAGACAGATATACATTGCCCTGGACGAAAGCAAAGAGTAAACAGGTAGTTTTCTAAACGCAGTTCAACGGCTCATTGTACCGGCGCTGGTTGTCGGTCTTATCTCCCCCAGAATGGCGTTAGTTAACGGGGACACATCACCAGTGAAGAGGGGCACTTACTATCTTGTCGTGGTCGTTGACATATTCGTCGATGTTATCCAAATAAAGCTCGTCCATTTCGTTTGATTATCGGCGACTGTGAACGTCTTCTTGAATCCGTTTAACTGCGCGGGAAGGCAGTTTATTTACTTCCTGTAAAACGTTCTTCCTTCCGGTGGGACGAGAGGCTGCAGGCTGCCCTCTACAGGCCAACGCGGGTAACAGCATGATATTACAGTTTAAAAAGATACTGATGGAGATATTCTGTGTTTACTTATTGCCAAATCCCATAAAAAAAGACCAAGACCATCAATTAATTAATTATAACAAGTATTGTTTGTGTAAATCAAAGCCTAAAATTGCTTATTCCTCTGCACCAGAGCCACACTGGATGACATTATTACAGTTCATTTTGACTCTATCCCACAAACACCATCCGGCTGCCACTATAGAGCACCAAATGCGGATGAAAATAGTCCCCTATATTTGACTATAGATTTTATTTTTTTTGTGGCTTTTATTGCCTTTATTAGATTGTAGCAGCTGGAGATTAAAAGTAGAGAGAGAGAAAGAGAGAGGGGGGATGACTTGTATTCACAAGATAGCAGCTGAGGGTGTGGAACAGTAGAATAAAGAAGCACTGATGAAATAAAAACACTTTCAGGAAGACATTTTGAAGATAATCATATAAAGTTTCAGTTTGCAGCAGCTGGTGCGCTCATTTAAATACTAATTTGTTTCATGTGACTTTAAATTTAATGCAAGAGTAAAAATATCTCCTTTTTCCTTCTGAATATTTAAAGTTCATCCGAGTGACTGATCATTATGATTGTATATTATCTCCACCAATTAACAGAAATGTAAGTATAATTAAGTACAAGTATCTCATTGTGCTTAAGTATTTCCATTTATACTTACTTTACTTTGCATTTCAAAAAGCAATATTGTACTTTTCACTTCACTACATTTATTTAGGAGCTATTTCAAAATAAGATTTTACATGCAAAACATGATCAGTTCATAAAATATGTTACAGATTAAACTACCAAATGTATACAGTTAAAATAAAGCTCACATTACATTACAGCTAACATATTAACATGTTATAATAATAATAATCCAGTGTACTCTGCATTATAACTTCTGCTGTTCATACTTTTTTTGTGCATTTTGTTGCTTATACCTCTGTATTTTTACTTAAGGTAAACGCAGGACTTTTATGTAATGGAGTATTTTTTGATCCTGTGGTATTACTTAATAAATTGTAAATTGTTTAAATACTACTCCTACCATTGCTTAAATACAGTAAAACAGTTTGTTGCATGTCATTCCCCATCTCTATCTCTCACTGTCATTTCGCTACTAATCTCTAATAACATCGATGAACTGCCCCCATGTCACACGACTTTCAGTTGGACACTACAACACTTTCTAATACTACAGATGGAAGAAAAAGAAATCACTATGATGGAGTTTAGATGGTTTGTGAACCTTGAAATCTTTCTATAAGGTACTGTATCCGAATTGTGTCAAAACTTTTCAAATTAAAACTGCCTCTTTTTAAGAAAAGAAAAATGCTGACTGTGAGTTAAGTCACAAGGATGAAAGATCATAAAATGGTTAATGGATGATAACCACTGCTTTTAATTTGCTCTAAATCGGGAAACTAACTGTCCAGTAAATAGAAGGAGGCTCCTCTGCAGGCTACAGGGAAAAGATCAGCAGTTATTAGTGCATCACAATGCAGTCAATGTACATTCTGAATGTTAATGAGCTGCTGTACAGTGTTGATATATGAAACCTTCAGTAACCTCATCATCAATTGTACATTTTCCAAGCAAATCTCTGGTCAACACGGGGGCCACTTCCTGCCAGCGTCACTGCTTGTCGTCGTCTCACTGCATCATGACTGGAAATGAGGGAGTGAAAACTGCTCGTACATCACTTGTTAGGAGGAATCTTTCTCAGTAGAAATATGAATAAGATGATGAGCAGAGGTCTAACCATTATTGGTGTGTGTGATTCCTTTACATACCAGAGTTGATCTGCTGTTAAACCAATAAAAAGCAACATCAGATAGTTAAAATGACCAAGAAATGATGCAGTGAAGGTCAGGGGTGGTCCATTCGGGTTCATTATGGGCATCACCATGTACCTACACAGGTGTGAAAATAATAATGATGACAGTTCTCCAGGGGTGCCATTAATTTATTTTATTCTAGTGAAAATACAGCAGTGGTGTTCAGCAGCACCTCACATTCCTTGCAGGAGGCCCAAGTTTGATTACTGGAAAATGAAATAACCTTTTCAGCCTCAATCATATCTGAGAAGAATAATAACAACTGTCCTTTCAACCGCAACATGTCATTGATTGCTCAGTGGGGAAGTTCACACTTTCTACCCGGGAGGTCTAGATGCCATTTCTGGCCAAAGCAATAATGTTAAATTAAAGCAGAATGAAAAGGCGTCTCCTTAGCATTGATGGCTCAGTGGTAGATTTCTTACCAGCCGTCCCACACATACAAAAAGGCCCGAAACATATATGATAACATCATTAAATGATCATGATACAACATATGAAAACCATCTCAGCAGGGAGTTGTGTCTGTGGCTCTGACAGAAGTTATAGAACCAGAGGCAATACGAATGTTGATTTAAAGGGTCAGTTCACCCAAACTATAACAGATATTTCTTGCACTGAAGGATATCATCAAATAACTTTTCCCTCTGAAAATTATTAACTGTGAGATCTGTGGATTTAGTTTGTCTCAAATTAAGTTTAAAGGGGCATTTCACCAATTTTACTTAACTAATCTTATGAAGTACTATTTAGCCTGTGAAAACAGTTGTATAATGTCTTCTGAGGCTCTAAATGGAGCTCCAAAGTCAGAAAAAAAAACCTGGTGAGGTCAAAGTGATGACATTATAGGGTTGGCATTGGAGAAAGTTTTAACATAAAGCCTGCGTTACAGGCGTGGACCATTACACATTACATGGTGTTTGAAGTCTGTGGGCGTTTACCAGGCAGGCAGAGTCTAAGGAAATTGCATTATGGGACAAGACCTAAAAGTCCTCACTCTCTGCTTCTACTCCTGACATTTTCAAAACAGACTCATTACTTTAGATTTAATACATATGAGGGGAATCAACGAGTATGATTGTTTAAATTTCAGTTAGCTTTGCACAGAAACAGAAATGTCCTTCAGAGAAACCCAGAGAGTACTTTTTACTTCTATAATTTCACTTTTACTTGAGTAAAGAAGTTGTATCATCTGAAATAGTTACAAACAGTGTCTTCAGTTTCAAGAGATATTGCACTTCCATAATTTAGGCTACAAGAGTAAAGTTGTGGTTTGTAGTTTGTTTTGCACTTGTCATTTCCTCTGACTGGACTTCTGTTCATCATGAAGCGTAGATGAAGAGTAACTGGAGGCATTTTTATCTCACTGACATAGGTCTTTATTTATTTACACATCTCACACTTTCCCACATGGCATGATTAAGTGGTGATGCTTTTTTTCCTTTTAAAAAATCAACACATAATTAATTTGGGAAGGGTAGTTGTGATATTATGACATGCTGATAGCGTCCCTGCTCAAAACTTTTATTTACCTCCACTGTGTTAAAGTGGAAGTACCTGAAAACCCAAACTGAATCTGCATGGCATGGTAAGTGAGAAAAACTGACCCTTTAAGGTCAAGTGTTTGATGGATTGGTATGATTCAGTGGAAAATTTAACAAATATGAAATACACAGTGCGGGAAACATACTGCAACCCAGAAAAAGCACAAACAAGAGAAGTCCCTAGATGAATCCTGTAAACAAGCAGAATGTCACATAACAGTTTGCTGCTGCAGACGCAAGAGCTGCTGAGTGCCCCGAAACCCGAACAAATGTATGTGTGGGGACTCATTTCCAATGTTTATAGTCTAAACCACAAATTCAACACTCGTTCGAAAAAACCCTCCTTAATGATGTTTTGTTCTACGTGTAGTTCATATGCGTCCTCCCTGTTTATGCACTCAGATGATCTTTTATACAATATTTAGACTGAAGCAGTTCTGAATCTTCAGCTGCTGAGAAGCCAAACAGTTTGCATGACAACTTCTGATAGAAATGTCAAACAGAAGGGCAGCGACGTGCAGCAGAGAAGGGAAAAATATTCCCCTAATGGTGACGAGAATCACTGTCTTACCTCGAAGATGCAGAGCAAAACTAAAATCCTCTGACGGGTCAGGGTTAGTTAAGATGAAGGAACAAAGCCAGTTTGATCGTCTTTGTTTTTCTCCTCATCTTATATCGTACATTAGTTAAATTTGCCTTCTTGTAATCTCTGTAACCTCTGTCTTTTTAGTTCATTGTACGTCAGTATTAGCCTGTCTGAAGCACTAGAGTTAGAAAATACAGCGTTGTCACCCAACAAAACATACTGAATATTTATTTGAAATATGTATTGATTAATTTATTATAAAGATCAATGTAAAAACATTTGATGAGTAATTTAAATAAATGGCAAACAAGACATCTGGTGAAACCTGGGCTTTAGTTTTAAAGAGTTGGACATAAATTATAATAATAACTTTAAGTATAATAAGTTACTTTTCTTACTTTTGTGTTTTTATGGAGTTTGGAAGGATTTAGGTTTGATTAAGGAGACCCCAACCCTACTGATGTCACACCTCTGGTTTGACCTTCATGGGGCATGGATGTAACCCCAACCATGCCAATTTAATTTTGGCCCCTGAAAGACTCTGCCACTGCTTATGGGGAAACTAAGATACTGTATTTGGTACCTTTATTGCTTATTTTCCACAGTAAATATAGTTTCTGTGTGTCACATTATGTCTGATATACCATTTCTATCTTTGTACGTTGATCTGGAGGTTTTATTTTACAGCAAAACAAACTTTCTTTACAGAATTGTCAGTCTAGATAAGACATTCAGTTTTTAAGTCACACATGCAATCTCTTTTTGAAGCTCAGATGGTGTAAGAGTATAACTGAGCTATATTTAAAATAGAGCTTCACGCTGACTGAAAGTGTTGATGAGAGTCACAAAAGAGTATGACTATCATCCTCATCACATGCACAAAGAACTGTCACATCCAGAACTTTTCCTGTTTTTTTGTCCACTCCCTGTTTGTTTGCTGTCTCAATGAATCAGAGAG